GGCGCCCGCTGCTTATCGCGCTTTGGGGCCGTTCCCTTCGGAACAGGCGTTGGGAGCACCGATCGGCATCGGGAAGCGGTTACGAGTTTAGTAGGAAATGGCTGTTTAATTAGGGAGAAGCGCTGCATGACAACGAGCGGGGAGTTCCCGCCTCTCGGCGCCGCACCGCTGGCTCCGGCACAGCTGGGAAATGTCCGAACTGCTGGAAAATAACTTTCCCTCCTGGTTTTCACAGAGAAATGAGAACTCTCCACTAGTGTGCGGCTCTCCCGGGGCTGGACAGCTGGTTTCACTTAGATTTGTGTGTGATCAGCCTTCCCGGCATCTTCCTGCTATTTTATCACATGTCAGCGAGTTAGTTTTACCGTATAAGGACTGCGGGCTGCTTCTGGGAGAGGTGGAGCCAGGCTCACTCCAGCTTCCCAATGGCCCCGACTCCATAGCTGTGGAATCTTGCTTAATTAAAATATGACTGAAAAGTGTCCTGTCTAGTGGAAGGAGTTGCAGACTGCCACATAACAGATGCCAGTTTTCTACATGGCCCATGCCTTGTGTGTAAATCAAGAAAGTTAAACACATAGCACTAGGTAGAAAACAAATGAGATGCTGGATAATTAATGACTAGAGGAATCCTGGGTCTGCTTCCATTTGGATCAGTCACTGAAATCCTTTCCAAGATGGTACAGCTATGAATGGAAACCACTTCCTCCAGCTTCGGAGGAGCGGTTAGTAACCAAATTTGCAAAGCTGCAGCAAAACAAGTTTTTTTTTTTAAGGGTTTAACATAAAGCATAAAACAATTGCCCTTCTAGGATCTACAGACCATAAAAGTGTTCTAAAAAAAAAAAAAGTTGATCTCGTATATGGCAATCGTTCTCAGATTTGGGGACAATTAAGGGCGCAAACCTGGCAGTTACTAAAATAGGGCTTTATTTTCCTTCAAATAACAAACAATTAAAGGAGCCCTATCTTAATAAACACAAGGTATTTACAGACACCAATTTGTTCATGTTCTCTGTATGTGAGCGTTTCTCCCAACAACCTCTCCATTTATTATCTTGTCTAGTTTTTAAACATTAATAGCATTTCCAATTACTGTGCAGTTTATTCAATAATATATAAACAGACCTTATTACTAAGAAATGCTTTCTGCCTAATTTCTTAAGTACCACAGGAAGCAATGAAAAAGCAAAGTGAACTTATTTTAAGAACATATCTAATTTTGCCCTATTTATGTTACAAAGAAGACTACCACGCTGAGGCCAACTGCATCTGCCCAGCTGACCGCGTAAAGATTATATAGCATTTGCAGGCTCAGGAGCCCGTAACGGATACTGAAATGGCTTTAACTTCAGCAGCGTGCTATGACAGGATATTGCTGCAATCTGTGATGAAACCAAGAGCAGAGAGATCAACTGTGAAGTTTTTGGTACAAACCATTATGGGAACAGTTTGGGTTTTAACTTTGGAATCCTTTGGGTAGATCCAGCCCTGTGAGGTGATCTGAAAATACTCTGGTAGCAATCGGTGTGTCGAATCCTTTGTTGTGTGGCAGGAATGATAAGTACCATAAAAAAGAAAGGAGAAGTACATACTCCATACCTTGAAAATTCCTGAGATGCCTGAGTTTAAACAAACAAAAAGCACAGACACAGAGGTTCCTAGAGCTTCCCTGCACAGACCGAGGAGAAGCCCTTGCAGTTTTAAGGAACGCTGATTAGTTGAGAACTTTTGTCAGCCAGTGAGTGCCTTGCACGTAACCTCAGTGCTGGGGGGGTTCTGTTTCCTGTAGGCTGAAGGTGAGGTGGCCGCTCTGAACAGACGGATCCAGCTTGTGGAAGAGGAGCTGGATCGTGCCCAAGAACGGCTGGCCACAGCCCTGCAGAAACTGGAGGAGGCTGAGAAAGCAGCGGATGAGAGCGAGAGGTACGTTTGCTTTTTTTCCTTTTTTTGGTAAAAAATTAAAAAAATTGCATATATATGAATAAAATATTCCTGTATAATTTAGTATCTGCATGTGCTAATGTGGATTGCAGGTCAGAGACTCGGAACTTTTTAATAAGCTTGAATAAGTGATTCTGTTAGCCTTGAAGAACATGGCAGTATGGTCATAACGGGCCACTTTTTGGTTACAAATATTGACATCCACATTAGCACCTTTGAGATAAAAGTCCTAAAATGCTTCTACACTAAACACACTTGCTTTGACTTCTGCAGAGGAATGAAGGTTATTGAGAACAGAGCAATGAAAGATGAAGAGAAAATGGAAATTCAGGAAATGCAACTGAAGGAGGCTAAGCATATTGCTGAAGAAGCCGACCGCAAATACGAAGAGGTAAAAGGGATAAGGAAATGATTAAACATATGGGAGAAACGTGAACAACTTTGTTACTCTTCAGTTGAGTCATTCTTTGTACGCTTTGAGCTGTGCGATGGTTCGACTTTGGAACGTTCCCAAAAAGGGGCAATTTTAATAGTGACTTTAGATATTTAATGCTAAGCACACTGCAAAATCTAACTTGTTTGGGGAAAAAGCCTGTCACGTCTGTGCACGTATGTTTTAATCTAATTTCATCATTCAGAAAGAAAGCACGAGCATAGTCCTTCGAGAGAAACATAAGAAATTACAGACTGCCTTGATACAGCTAGTGTCTCTTTACAGGTTGCCCGTAAACTGGTTATTTTGGAGGGTGAACTGGAAAGAGCCGAGGAGCGTGCAGAGGTGTCCGAAGTGTGAGTAACATCATGTACACGGAAGCAGTTTAGAATACAGTAAAGGTCAAAGCTGTATCTCATTCAAAAAAGCTACCCCTGGTAGGCAGGCATGTAGTGTATGTTGAAAAGCTTTTTTGTCCCCTGTATACCCAGTTTTCTCCTTTCAGACTGAACAATTATAACTACTTCCTCCCTTGTATTTTTAGACTTCTTGAAAATTAAGTTAAGTCGTAACAGGAACAGTAGTAATTTATACTTTTTTTTTTTAATAGTAAATGTAGCGACCTTGAAGAGGAGTTAAAGAACGTCACTAACAACCTGAAGTCTTTGGAAGCTCAATCTGAAAAGGTCGGTTCTTTCAGTAAACTAAGGGATAGGGGCAAAGTCAAAACTTGTAAAGAAAACGCATAGAAATAATCCAGAAGAACAAAGTGAAAGGGTTTAGCTGCCTGCCTGTTTAACAGAGACTGTTGATAACGCCAAATCAGTTCTCCCCAAGTCCAAGTCAGTAATCTGATAATTATCTGCAACACTGCTTCAAGGCAGGACTGGAATCTCCGTTTCCCACACCAGTATGCTGCTGACTGCTCTCGATTTCCGGATCTTGCTCTTCTTGTGGGTTTTGCCCTCGTAATAAAAAAAAATTGTTAAAACGCTCGATTTCATTAAACGGTTGTTTCTGGCTAGCCTAACTTGGAATGGAAGGCCTCACGTTCTCTTGCGCATTCAGCCGTTTTTGTGCTGCACAAGAACGTAAGCCCGTTAAGGTGGAAGATGACGCACGAAGGAACTTGGACGTCCCCGGTCTTGAAATGATGGTTTGTGAGCCAGAGCCTGAAATGTCCTGGTGAGGAGGAGAAAAGTACAGAAGGGGTGTTTGCAGCTGTTGTAAAAGGAAAAGTGGTTATAAATAGGGCACGGTTTCATAAACATTTATTATTGTTGCTACAACTTCCCTTAAAGAGTGTTTATTGTTTTCACAGTACTCGGAAAAAGAAGATAAATACGAAGAAGAAATCAAGATTCTCTCTGACAAGCTTAAAGAAGTAAGTTTGTCCATCCCCAAACTGTACTTTGGCTTCATTTTTTTTAACAGCATCCAGTTACTCTATTTAAATTTTTTTAGGCTGAAACTCGTGCTGAATTTGCAGAGAGAACGGTTGCCAAACTGGAAAAGTCTATTGATGACCTGGAAGGTACGAAATTACTTGAGTTTCATCTAAAAGTGGTCCATTTCAAATCAGAAAACAAAATTCTAGGAGCGGGTATTAGGTTTTATAGGGAAAGGACAGCAGTACTCGTGAGGCGTAGTGGTAGATCGGCATGACGTGCCCACCGGGCGTGTCTGTCCAGCGTGGTACCTCCTGGGCCGGGGTGTTTTCCTGAAAGAGGTTCTCTTTCCAAAGTTGGTAACAATAACCTGATTTTGGCCAACTCGCAGATACGTGGACTAGAGGGCTCTTTCTATTAATAACAAGATCACAACCCTCCTTCATCTGATTACCGAAAAATAATGTTGTGAGATTGAAAAAAAGTAAACGTAGATGAAGCTTCTGACCTGGCAGCTGCGTGGATTTTTTGCTCTCATACTGATACTCAGTTACACATCTGTTTTCTTCTTTTGTTTTCCTCCCCAACTGCTCTGGCTGCTGCCTTCTGACCGTCTTCGTGTCTCCTACTGTGCCTCTTCTCTGGACTGTTTTTCTGCATTTCTTGCTGACGCGCACCTTCTGCCCTCGTACCCGATAGACGAGCTCTACGCTCAGAAGCTGAAGTACAAAGCGATCAGTGAGGAGCTTGACCATGCTCTCAATGACATGACCTCTTTGTGATCTGTGCCTGCGCGGGGGTACGGGGGCTGCTCTGACTCGCTCCATTTCTTACGCTTTTCTTGCCTGTAATACCTGTCACTTCTGTGCAACTTCCACAAGCGATCCTTCCGTCTCCTCTGTAAGAACTGAGCTCAATAAAAACAACTTACCTCTACCTTTCAGCTTTTGGGGGTTATTTCCTTATAACTCACCTAAAATACACTAGTGATGACCCTGCAAATAGGTTCAGCTCTTCACGCCGGGGACAGGCAGGTGCAGTCGGCACAGGTGCCCCCCTCAGCCGGGACAGGACCCAGCGCGCTGGCAAACGCCTGAATTTTAGTGTTCCCAAGGACGCGCGTGGGAGCGAAAAGCTCCGAGTGTGTTTGGTGTGTACCTGTGGTGCTCCACCCACCCAGGTCAAAACTCTCAGCACAATAAAAACTCTGAAGGACATGTCCTATAAATCGCATGTGAAATCTAAAAACAAGCCTGTCGCGTTACACGCAAGACATGTCCAAAAACCTCACTAAATGTGAACAATGACAAAAGAAATTGGCCCCTTTTGTGGATGCAGTTATAGTGTTGTCTTGAATGTGAAGGTAAGTAATAGTGATTTTACTTAAGGAGAAAAGGCTCTAAAATAACATGGTTTAAGTCTTTTTTTTTTTTTTCTCCTTTCTCACTAGAAAAACTTGCTCAAGCAAAAGAAGAGAA